AGAGAACGGAGACCCCCTTGGCGCTATGGGTCATGCAAGCAGCCTGCAGGAGGGGGGGGATGCGTTCGCCGTTTGGGGAGGGGGTGGGGGAATGCATCACACGCGCCCAAGTTTCGCTGTGCGCAAATGCATGGGCACAAGGATTTGCGGTGCAAACGCTCAGGAGCCCCCCAGGCAGAAAAGGGCCACTCCACTTGCGTCTCCTCGGAAGCAAGTTTTTTTGGGGGGGAGAGAAGTTTGACACACGCATGCACGCACCCCCACACACACACACACATACACACAAATTTAAAAAGGGGGGGGATATTTCTACAGAAGCACCACTTGGCATCAATCTTCCAATGGAACTTCTTTTGAGTAGATTAGAGGAAAATATAGACTCCTTCTCATCCCCATTTCACCAGCAACTGCTTCCCCCCCCCCAGCCTCCACCTCCCCAGCGTCTCAATATTGCAAAGATGGGGGAGAAGGGGGGGGGGAAGGGAAGCTTCGAGGAATCGACCCACCTCTTTCTTCCATGAAAATAAGTTCAGGAACACAACAGCAAAAAGGCAGTTTTAATCCAAAAATGAAGGACAGAAACTGTTGTTAGCAGAGAATTACAGAGGAAGAGTCAACAGCCAACACTCGTCTCCTCTAACTGAAATCTCTCCCCAGCACTGCACCAACTGAATTCAAACTGCCCGCTTAGCCCCACTAAACCACTAGGGGGACTGTTATGACTACTCTCGTCGCCATTGCGGTGACGTCAGAGCCTGGTGTTCAGGCTTTCCATATACAGGGGGTAGTGGCTGGGCAGCACAATGTGGGGGAAGGGAACGCCTGGGGATTTTTAAAGGCCACTTGGAAAGAAGTGGGAGGAAATCTTGGGGCCTGATGGGAAACAGAAGGCGGGGGGGGAGGGGTTGGGGGAATTACTCAGCCCCCTGCTCTTATTCCTTACATCTGGCTTAGTTATTTCAGATTCAGTGTCACCCCCTCGGGTTGTGTAGCCATCTGCGTTCGTGGGAAGGGGGCAGGAAAATCCTAGCAAAGTTCAAAGTACGTAGGAAATGGTTTCCTTATGCTGATCCCCCACCCCCCGTTGTTGTCGTCGTCTCCTGCTGTCTAAATTAAAGGTCTGTGTGGTTGGGGGAACTTGCAGTTCTTGTGTTGTTTATTCTATAAAGGAACGAACGTGTATGCTGGTGCTGTAAAATAGTAGTAATAATATCTCAACCCTGCTTTTCATCTTCAAACAAAAGAGGTGTACCCCAGCATCACTACAGATAAAATGCCTGTGTTTTTTAAAAAATTTCTGCTATAACTGAAAAAGTGCTTGAATTCTGTTTGAGGCCTGCCGCCTCCTCTCCTGATCCTACCAATAGGCCTTGGGAAAGGGGAGGGGGTTCTGAGAGTGAGCTGGACCCAGATTTGATGGGTATCTATGTATGTATGTATGTATGTAGGTGGGACCCAACAAGAGTGTCATCTTAGAAATCTGTAGCCAGTGGTATTCTCTGGTGGGGTTCCAATCCATATGTGAAATTCAGCTGATGCACATCTGTGTAGCCTTTTGGTTCCACAGCCCCTAAAGCTTCTCTGCCTTTCTGTCTCCTGTTCTGCTAAGAGTCCACAGCCTCTCCTGTCCTTTGCCAAGTTTCCCGTCTCACTCTTTTATCCCCTATTTCCCAAATCTGTGCTGGCTTGCTCTTCCTGTTGCATTGGTCCTGCTTTCTATGGCACCTTGCCTTCAGGCAATCCATCTCAGCAACCGAGACCTTTAGCTTCCTTGCCTGTAAGGGTCTCTTGTCTTCTAACCTTTCCTTCCTACCTCCTTCCTACCTTGAATCTGTTAAGCGTTATGCAGGGCCTCTGACTATAGGCAACTGTAATGACAACTGTTCCATATTTGGGACCTTTTTGATATGCCTGGTGGCATCTAAAAGGAGACCTCTTTTTTTTGGACATTATGGCCCCGGACATCGACTCTTGGCAGCCTGGCATTCACCTAAGAGACTGTCAAACCAATTGTGCCCCTGTTTACAGATTCTTGTGGCAAAATATTGTGGGGGGGGGCAGCATTGTGCACAAAAGGGGACTGAGTTGAGCTTAAACACCCATTCCTGTAGTCTTGGCATTTTCCCATAAGCTTCCTGGGCCTGTACTAACCTGTGTGAGAGGCAAAAATCCCTGTTGGTAAAAGATTAATCTCTTGAACTTCTGCCTGCCATGTCGCTTGTTCAGAAGTCTCCGGAATCCTGGTAGAAGGGACTTAGCGTTCCTATATGGGCTAGGAGGTGAAGAGGCCATTTTAACCGCCCCATGCAGAGAAACCAGCTGGGGTGAAGGTGATAAGAGAGGCTGGAGTTTGGGCTGAGTAAGATGAAAGGAACTGGGCTCTGATGAGTTCAGGTGATTGAAGTTGGGTTGAGGCCTTGAATGAAGCAGGATGCTTCATAACTGGGTGACTAAAGCTGTTCCTTGCTTGGTAGATAATTTCAAAGGGCTGTCCTCTTTGTTTTTCTGGACTGTGTTTACTAGCTTGACAGGAATTCAGACAATGCTAATTTATCTGGTGACCAGTGCCACCTGTAAAACATTTTATATATGTTTTCTTTATACGAGGTTGCTCGAGTAAATTTTAGGGTTTTCCATGTTTTTGACCAATCATCTATATCAGTATTATGACCAAAGTCTTGCATCCAGGTTATCATTGGAGTCTTCACTACTTCATCTTGTAAATATTCGTAAAGGAGAAATTTGTATACTTTCTGTATCATCTTATCACTTGGGGACAACCAAATTTTATCTAGATCTGTTTTTGTATCTTGGAAGCCAATCTTTTTGTCTTTGTTGTATCTGGTAATCAGTTGAGTATTTTCCCACTAGGTCAATTTTATGTTTTGTATGCATAATTCCTCCTGAGTTTTCAAAATGTTGTTTCTATCTAATAAAGTTTCATATTTTCCTATTTTGTCTTTTGTAAGTAATGTAGGTTTAATAAATGCTTCCATCAGTGATACCCATTTGGGTATTTTATCATAATACCGCTCTTTAATTTCCTTCCAGACTTTTATTAAAGCTCCGCGTAACGTATGTTGTTGAAAGCTATTATGTATTCTATCTTTTTCATACCAAATGTACGTGTGCCATCCCATTACTAAATTATGGCCTTCCAGATTTAGCAGTCTTCTATTTTCTAAAGTCAGCCATTCTTTAATCCAACTCATAGCTGTTGCTCCGTAATATAGATTCCAATTTGGTATTCCCATACCTCCTCTTTCTTTTTTATCTTGAAGTATTTTCCACTGGATTCGTGCTGTTTTGTTTTGCCATACAAATTGTTTACATATTTTATCCAAGTCTTTAAAGAAATATTTGTTTCTCAAAATTGGTAAGTTTTGTGCTAAAAATAAAAATCTGGGCATGTAGGGACCTTATTATAAATGAAATCAAGATGAGTTCATTTCCCCTCCTCCCTTCTTCAGGTTGTAGCTGTGCCACAAATGGCTTCCATTAGCAGCTGGGCTAATATAAAAATTTTGTGGACTAGAACCTTTCTGTGATAGGTTTGTTTTTCAAGACACCCTTGGACTATAGATAGCTGTTAGAGTTGACATTAGAAGCATCTTGATGTACCATTTTAAAATGTTATTTTAATTATTTTATTGCAAGTGCCTATGGGATGTGCTGAGCATCATGGTAAAAACATAATTCATAATTATTACAGTAATAAATAAGGTGTTGAAGCATAGAATAGTATGTGCTTTAATTTTAGTTTTGGGTTCTGGCTCTCAACCTCCATGGGAAGGAGGAAAGATCTGTGTGTGTTGTGTGACAGGCATAGTGTCTAGAGGAAGCTTAGTATTCCTTAGATTTTCTTTGGGAAAGCCAATATCCTCAGACGTTTTCTGATTCTTTCTTTCAGATAAAGTGGTGAAGAAGGGGAAGAAGGATAAAAAGACAAAAAAATCGGTAAGGTTCAGTTCCGTCCTTCGGTGTTTTCAACACAGTTGTTTGGACTGAAGGGAGGTTTAAGGTGAATGAATCTGGAGGTTGTCTTGACTCCTGCTGTTCAACTTTGCAATCCCCTTCAGAGGTGCTGCAGTTATGTCACTGAGTACTTGGAGTGGTTTGGGACTCTGCAGCAGTTATGAATCGCATCTGTAGTACTTTTCAAAGTACCCAGAATGCTTTGCGACTTGTAGCTCATTTATCCCCATAAGCCCCTGCCAAGTAAAACGTCCTGACTGAGAATTCTGAGCTGGCTTAAAATGCCATTCTGCTCTACCACATTGGCATTACACGACTCAGAAATAGTGTGTGTGTGGCTTCGGAAAGAAGGAAGGCAAAGGATCGTGGAGAAACTTAGATGAGGCAAGGTTGTGGACGAATGAAGCTGTCAGGCTGCTGATCCATCTAGCTCAGTATTGTCTCCTCTGATTGGCAGCAGCTCTTCGGGCTCTCCCAAGTCAAATAGAGGCCTCTCCCAGTACCTGCTGAGGTCCTTTATGTGAGAGTGCCAGAGACTGAACTTGTGAACTTCTGCATACGGAGTAGGTGCTGTGCCACTGAGCCAGGGCTTCTGTCCTAGAGTACGTTTGAATGGTGTGCTCCTTATGCTATAAAGGAAAGACAGGTCTTGCTTTGGAAGAAGATGGAGTTTATCTCATTCTTGTGGCCTCGCAGTGTATTCTGTAACTACTCAACACATTTTTCCCTGCCTCCCAAGTTCTTTGAAGAGTTGGCTGTGGAGGAGAAGCACACCAGTGAGGAGCAGGTGGCCGAGAAGGAAAAGGAACAACAGCAGCAGGCGAGTACCTTAAAAAAATCCACTGGGCTTATTGCCTATCGAAGGGCCTTGTCGGTAGAAGGCACCTTGGTTAGCCGCAGTAGCTCTGAAAGCCTGTGTTTTGCTGAGCACTGCCGTTTATCCCTATTCCTTCTTTTCTTTTTTTCCAAAATTTGTGTGTGGCTTTAGCAGCAAAAAAAGAGACGAGACAAGAAAAAAGACCGAAAGAAAAAAGAGGTGGAGGAGGATGAGGAAGAGAGCCAGCTGATTGAGAGGCTCAAGAAGCTGTCGGCTCAAGCCAGCGATGAGGAAGATGAAGGTTGGAGGCTGGGATTTTTTTTGGTGGGGGCGTTTTCTCTGTGAGCTCTTCTCTCCCCCTTTCCCCTCAGAGGTCCAAGCATCCTGCGAGCAGGGTTTGCATTGTGCATCTGAGGCCTGGGCTTTTACAGCTGCGGCAGAATGAGGTGACTGAATCCTGAGGCCTTAGACTGGGCTGTACCACTTCTGACTGCTGGTGGGGAAGAGTCATAAAAATGGTCATTTAAAAAAATTCCTGGAAATACCTTTAGCGCCTCAGGGAGACAGATTATAGCATCGGGGCCCTTTACATGCTGCACTAGTCTTCTCTTTATTGACAATTATTAACGTGAGGGAACTTTGAAAATTGTAATCCTTCCCCTGCAGTCTCTTCTGACCCCTCAGCACTCTGCTGGCTCATTCTGCTGAATGCAGAGGTCAGGTCAGCAATAATCCATTTTTAAAGGACAGGCACATTCAGTCGGTATGATGAGGTGTAGTGTGGAGACTGTAATCACAGAGGAAATGTGGGGAGAAAATGGGATGGCTTTCAGTATTTGGCACTGGAACAATCTCTTTCCTGAAGTGGTGGATTCTTTGTCATTGGATGTTTTTAAGGTATCAATTGGATACCTACTTGTTGGGGATATTATAGCTGTAGTTCCTGTGTTGTCAGGAGATTGGGCTAGATGACCCTGGTGGTCGCTTCCAGCTCTGAGGTTACATATAGTGACCTGCCTGTGAGCTTCCTGTGATATTTGGCCATCCACTGTTGGGGACAGGGCTAGACAAGCCGGACCCTTGGTCTGACCTGGCCAGGCAATGTGTTATGTTCAGCCAAAAAGGGGGGGGGGGAGCCAGTGTACAATGCAAGAAGCAAAAAAGAAAACACCACTTGCAAAAAATGAACACACAAGCAAATAAGCAAGTATATAATAATCAATTAAACATAACAGTGAAATATAATATATATCAAATAAGCATAACAGCAAATATAATATCACTCAATTGGTCAAAGTGCAATAATAAAGCATAATAGAAACAGTGTCTACAGTCTTTCCATGTATCTACTCCAGCATAGAAGCAATATCAGAGTCCAAATTGGAGTGCAAGTCATCACATTTTCTGAGCCATAAAAAGCTGACGCGTAATCCGGATGCCTGATGCCGCGTTTCGAATAATTCTTATTCAAGCATGGCTGTAAATGGGACCCAGTCTCAAAAGCTGGCATATACTAAGCCAGAATGGTCAGTCAAGGAGGAATAAGGGTCCTTATGTTCTTCAGGGCTGTGAAGAAACTGGTTCCACAGGTGCAGCTTCTCTGTGACACGGTGAAGAGTTGGTAGGGGAAAGTGCCTCTGTGGAGTGCTGCCCTTTTGCATGGCTTGTAAAAACCGAGAGGCCTTGTCCGCATGGCATATGGCAATGTTGCCCGTGATCTTTGAGCCTTATCTTCCTTTCCAGCATAGTCAGTCACAACTTGTTTCTCTTCCAGTGCCTGCCCCCATTGTCAAAGCTGGTAAGAAAAAGAAGGTGAGTTCTTGAGCTTTGGACGTTTCCTGTGTCGGGAGGGAAATTGCTGCAGGCCATTCTCGGCAGAAGCAACGCACTAAGCCAGGTCTCAGGGGCAGTCAAAATCTCAGACACCCTGCCCTGCCCTGGACAGCCCAGGGAAGCCCAATCTTGTCAGATCTCAGAAGCTAAGCAGGGCTGACCCTGGCAAACACTTGAAAGGGCGACCTCCAAGGAATACCAGGGCTCGGGACTCAGAGGCAGGCAATCAAGCCACCTCTCTGAAACATCAAGACCCCACTAGGGGTCGCCAGAAGTCACCATGACTTCCAGGCATGAAACCACATACACATAAAACCCACAAAAAGGGGGGGGGGAATATCTCAGACAGCCGAAGCTGTTGCAGAACTTCGCAAAGTGTAAGTGCTGCCTATCTCTGGGCTGCCTATCTCTGGACACCAGTTTGGTGTAGTGGTTAAGTGCGCGGACTCTAATCTGGGAGAACCGGGTTTGATTCCCCACTCCTCCACCTGCACCTGGCTGGATGACCTTGGACAAGCCATAGTTCTGGCACAGCTGTTCTTGAAAAAGAGCAGTTTCTGTCAAGAGCTCTCTCAGGCCCACCTACCTCACAGGGTATCTGTTGTGGGGAGGGGAAGAGAAAGGAGTTTGTAAGCCGCTCTGAGACACCTTTGGGTAGTGAAGGGCGGGGTATAAATCCAATCTCTTCTCTTCTTCTTTAGGCAGTGTCTGCCTGAGCAAGCAGAGTGGTGCTTGGCACCTCTTATTGCCAGGCACCTTTTTCCTCAGGCTTAAAAAAAAATGCTTATATTATATTACATAATAATACATAAAATAAGAGAAAAAAAGAAGGGCATTTATAACAATTTTATTAGACTCTCTGGGTCCTTATAGTTGTCATGATGACCTTGAGACGGTTGAGCTTATAAAGGTTTTGTCAGTCATGGGCATTGAGGGGGGGAGTTTTTGTGGTGGTCTAGCAGTGATGCTGTTACATGCTCCTTTCTTACCAAAGAGCTTTCTAAGCAAGTTACAAGATGGAGGAATGCATTCATTAACATCAGGGCTATTTTTGGGCAGGAACGCACAGGAACGGAGTTCCGGCTGGCTTCAGAGTTGGCCACGGCCACTACAGCCAAAACCTCTGCGTGCCTGGCTACAAAACCTCTGCGTGCCTGGCCTCCCCATGCCTTCCCTGGCCTGTCCAAGGGCCGGCTTGCCCAGGCTCCCTGCAGCCACAGGGTGCCGGGGAAAGCCAAGGGGAGGCATGGGGTGTGGCCTAATATGCTAAGGAGCTGTGCTGTCAGGGGTGTGGCCTAGTATGCTAATGAGTTTCTGCTGTTGGGTGTGGCTTATTATGCTAATGAGTTCCTGCTGGGCTTTTTCTACAAAAAAAGCCAACATGATTATGTTTTCACCAGTCTGTGGTGGTGGAATGGTTTTTCTGGCTAGACAGCCAAGAAGCCGCACTCTTCTGGCTCCATTAGATGATGAGCTCCAGGAGCCACTTGCAGTCCTTTCAGCAGGCTTCTGGATACACTCTGTTAAGCAGCTGTGATGTGGTGGCTCTGGAGTGTGGGACTAGGACCAGAGAGACCCAGGTTCCAATCCCTGCTGGCCTTCAGCCAGTTTGTTCTCTCATCATAACCTACAGCACGAGGATACTGTGAGGATAAAATGGAGGAGAGAACTGTATGTGCTTCCCTGAACTTTTTAGGGGAAGGGTAGAGGATAAATGTGTGCTGACCTGTATGGTACTGGCATGGATTGTCTGTTGGCTGCCATTTGCTCTCTCGGTTATCTTTAGGGAGGGAACTTGTTTGCTGCCTTGAATCAGGAGCAGAGCGAGGAAGAAGAAGAAGAAGAAGATGACCCACCAAAGCCTATCAAACCGGACAAGAATAAGATCAACAAGGTGAGGTGCGCTGCAGCATCTGGCAAGCAGCGGTTTAGAGCAATGAATGTGGATGGGGAGCTTGCAGAGGGGTGGGGTGGGCGCAGGTGCTACAAGAAGAGTATTTTTTGTACATGTCATAGTTTAGAAATCTTTGGGTATAAGAGCAGAGGTATTACATACGCACAGTGCTAAATCTCTGCTTCCATTTTGAAAACAGGAAGGTTCTAGCCCGTGTGGCTGCAGATACAGACTTGGATCCTATGAATGTGTTCTGTGTGTGCTGGGTAGCTTCCATTGTGGAGCACACTTCTATCGGTGCAAGATCAGTAGCTTACAGTGAGCCCTTGCAGAGACAGAAGCACTCATGCAAATGGAAGCATACTCTGTGGTGGAGGCTCTCTGCCATGTTCGGAACTCATTCAGTTAAAAACGTTTGTGCTTTTTGTCTAGTAAAATATTTGAAGGTGGAGGGAGCGGTGTGTGTGGGGGGGCTCAACAGCAAGGGAGTGGATTAAATAGAAGGCCCAGAAGGAGGTACAGCATATGTCTATGTGCCACTGTCAGGTTCTATAGTCAGTTCACACCACGCAGCGCTTCATAAGAAGCAGGGGTCATTTCCTGCAGGAGCACACAGGAGCAGAGCTCCGGCAGTAAAGAGCCCAGGGGGCGGGCACATGCAACAAGCCCCACCCCCTGCACATTCCTCCCCCCCAATAGCTAGCAATGCAGAACAGTCCAGTGGAGCCTGAGCGGTGGGTGTTGCCTTCTGACACACTTCTGGTGATGTCAGGGGGTGTGGCATACGCTAATGAGTTATGCTAATGAGCTCCTGCACCTCTTTTTCTACGAAATGACCCCTGATAAGAAGTATTCTGTTTATTGGTAGTACATAACTATGATCCATGTACGTTCTTTGTTAGGAATGGCCTAAAGCAGCAGGGTACCTAAAGATATGGTAGTTTCAAAACACCCCCCGTAACAAGCAAAAGCCAATAAGCATAGCGTAATTGTCCTGCGCGCGCAAGAGGAAATTAAGCAGGAGAAGGTGAGCCGTTCGTTCCCAGCGGGTCGGGAGCAGCTGGGAATCAAGGTCGAAAAACACATAGATAACAAGCCAGACTGGAGTCATCGTTTGAGAAGCAGGAGGGAGGTAGAGCACCCACACACACACGCGCACAATCTGCAGACTATGGCAGTGTTAACTGACATCCACTTGCTGGGGGACAAAATCATGGGGAAAGGCATGCCTGGCTTGTGGATTTCTCAGAAACGTGGCTGTCTGATCTTAGGAACGGGATGCTGGACTAGATGGACCAATGGTCTGATGCAGGGCAGCTTCTCTCCCATTCTCATGGGATGGAATTTTCAGTGTTCTTTAGGTCATCGTTAATTCTCTTTGACAAGCAAGCAAATTATGCAAAGGGAGCTAAAACAGAAAACATTCAGGCCAGACATCAGCAAGAGGCCTCGCTGCCAGGTGCTGGTAGGAAGCCAACCCCCCCTCATGATTGTGGCCTTAGTTAGGGAACAAATAATTGTGTAAGCCACTCAGAGACCCCTTGGGGTTCGAGCGGGACACAAGCCGAAAGCATAAATAAATAAATAAAACACAGAAACCTTCGCAATTTGTCATTAAAATTGCATTTCCTTGGCACGGAGTGTGAGAATAGTGGGGGAAAGCCTGTCTGCAGGGCTGGAAGGAATATTCCTAATATCAGCCCTTAGGTTCCAGCCCTTCCCAAACACTAATGTTTCTGAGTTGCTAGTTGGCTGCTGCACATTTGTAGACCCCAAATGGCTACAGACTTTCCTAGCTCTGGACAATAGGCCTTTGTGCCACAGGCATTGTGGAGCTGACCCCTGAAGAGGTGAAGGGAAAGAAAACTGGGCTGCTTTTCTAGCATTTTTTTTAATGGTCAGAAATGGGGGGGGGGAGAATATCACTCAACCCTGTCTCCATTTCTTTAGGCAGCTTCTGATGATGAAGAAGAGAAAAAGGCAAACAAAAAGGAGCCGAAGGGCAACCAGAAGGTTAGTGTTTGTGGCATTACGTGAAGCAATTCCTGGTCATACCTAAGGTGAAGCAAAGAATTATAGGTACATCATTTGGTCTAGCCCCCTGGACATAACCCACTTCTCCCTGAAGGCTTCAAGTGGTTCACACCACCTAAGGAATCTCAAGTCAAGTCAAGTCAAGTTTGCTTTCTGGCCCTTAAAAAGAAGAAGCTTATACCTTAGATAGTGATCTGATGACAAATTAGAGTTGTATTGGTGCGTTTCAATGATATGTTGTGTTGTTCCTGTATTTGTTTAAAGGGTTTTTTTAATATATATATAAAAGTACATAGTAAATATATTCGACGCATGTATTTACTATGTACTTATGTATTTATTGTGTATTTTATTGTTATTCTTGGAAACGTTCTATTGGCTGGTCGTTTGACCGTACTAATAAACTTGACTTGACTTGACCTAAGGAATCTGTTAACATTGTCAGTCGAAAATGGAACAAATAAACCTTACAGATGTTAAATGTCATCACTGATACCAGCTTCGGATAGCAGCCAGAGCTTAGGGACAGATGTTTTGCTGTCTTATACCAAATCATAACGTTGGTTTGTCAAGGACAGTATTGTCTACTCTGGCTGGCAGAGTATCTCACACAAAGGTCTTTCTACTAGCAGATTAGGGGTATGCAAAAAAAAAAAATCTCAGTATTTTTTGTTTTGGGTCTATCGGACCCAAAACATTTTCGGGGTTCCTGAAAAAACCCGGATCCCAATACCAGTAAAGTATTCAAAACCAGGATTTTTCAGAAATTCCGAATTTTTTCAGGTCCGAAAAACACTGAGGGGGGAAAAGAGCAATGGTAAAGACGCTAAAAACAGTTGAGAGACGGCTCAGCTGGGGCTCTCTTGGGCAGGCCCTTTAACCCGGACTGCCCAACAGAGCTTGCCCAGGAGCCAGTCTTGTGGGGAGAGTTCTCCCTGCAGGCTCTGTTCGGCAGCCTGGTTTTGCCAATAATTCCTAAATATTTCTGGGATTTTTTTCAGGGATTTTTTTTTTTTTGGTTCTCCTAAAAATCCTGAATATATTTGGGAAGCCAAAATGTACCCTAAAAGGTGTTTTTTGGGTATATTTTTGGTTTGGGTAAACCCAAATGCACACCCTTATAGCAGATCTTTTTAAGTAGATACTGTCCTAGGGTGTTTGTTTGTTTGACTTCTATACTGCCCGCCCCCCGAAGGGCTCAGGACTGTGTACATCACAGTTAAAACATACAATAAATTAATTACAAGCATCAACAGTTAACCGCTTGGCGTGAAAAAGTGTGGGAACAATTTGTGATGGCAAAAATCTTTGTTTGTTTGACTTCTATACTGCCCGCCCCCCCGAAGGGCTCAGGACTGTGTACATCACAGTTAAAACATACAATAAATTAATTACAAGCATCAACAGTTAACCACTTGGCGTGAAAAAGTGTGGGAACAATTTGTGATGGCAAAAATCTCAGATAAAGTACATAGAGCACAAACATCTCAGTCTAACAATTCCAAATTTGAATCAACCTGGTTTCCAATATTCTCGTATCTCACCACACATGATATACTTCCTGCAAACCCACATTATCATAAATGGTTATTATTGTTCCCTAGTGGGAAAAGACAATATTCGTAATCCTTACTCCTCTACCTCTACAGACTAATGACCTTGGGTATTATAGAAGATCTCTTTGTTGAAATGTTAAGCTAACTCTGACTTAGCTTTTATATGTTATTAAATTGCACTTCTGTGTTTATGTATCTCTGTTGATGGCAACAGTATGGCATTAATTGTTTTGTTAAAATAAATTTTAAAAAATTAAACTAAATAAAACAGTTTAAAACAGCAGCCTATTTACGATGGCAGAACATCTCTGTTTTACATGCCCTGCAGAACTGGACTAGGTCCTGCAGGGTGCAGATAGCTCTCCAGGCAGAGAGTTCCACCAGGCAGGAGCCAGGGCTGAAAAGGCCCTGGTTCTAGTTTGAAAGGCATGTGATGCAGCCCTTTTGCTGAATCAAAGCAGGCCCAGGGTCTGGTGAGCACCTGGATGGGAGGCCTGCTGGGAGCTTCCCGTACATTCTAGAAGAAAGGCAGAATAGACATGTAATAAATTTCTAGGTTCAGGTTCCACAGAAGACCCACTGCCGGTCAGAGCTGATCATACTGGGCTAGAATGGCCACAGGAGGGAAGAGCACATGCTCAGTGATGGGACAGGGTCTCAGTTGAATCCATGTCACTCGCAGTTGAAGGAGCTCCAGTAACAGGAGGTGGAGACGCCCGGAGAGACCCTGCAAGTAGACAGCACTGTGGCCAAGCAGACCTTTGTCCTAGGGTTGCCAGCCTCCAGGTGGGGCCTAGGGATCGCCCGCTTTTACAACTGATCCCCAGCTGACAGAGACCAGCTCCCCTGGAGAAAACGGCTGCTTTGAAGGGGGGACTCTATGGCATTGCACCATGCTGAGGCCCCTCCCCTCCCGAGACCCCACCCTCTCCTGGATCCACCCCCAAAGTCTCCAGGTATTTTTCAACCCAGACCTGACAACCCTACTTTGTCCTGATTGTGTATAAAGTGGATTTTTAAAATCCTGCTTTAACCTCCACGCGGCAGAGGCCTGCCCAGATAGAAAGGACTGAATAATGCTTTAAAAAAAAAAGATGATCAGGCAAGTATAAGGCAGTTCCAGAAACCTATAGCAATTGCTGAGGATGCCCATCCATGGTGGTCCACCTTCATGCACCCACATCTACTGAGGGTACTCTTAATATTATTGTGACAGGAGTTCTAAGTGGTATACCTTAGGAGAATGAGGTCCTTGTAGTACAACGGTCTCCAAAGTCAGTACTTAATTTCTAGTGAAAAAGGTGCCAGAGTTTGAAAGCATTGCTGGTTTTCAAGCAAGTAGACGGTACTGTCCTTGGTAGACCCATGGTCTGACTCAGTAGAAGACTGCATCATGTGTTCATGGATTCTGCCCCCACACTTCCTTGAAAGCCTCCGATACAAGAGATACTTTCTGAGATATTTCTAGAAGGGTTTCCTAATGCTAGTTTACTGGGAAAAGGAAAAGATACAGTGAGCATTCCCGGCTTTCCTTGTGTGTGTTTTCTAGCAGCAAGAAGAGGAGGATGAGGAGGACATAAAGAGGAAGAGCAAAAAAAATGAGAAGAACAAAGGAAAACAGCAGGTGTGGTTTCTGGGTTTTGTTATTCAGATTGACTTCTAACTCTTCACTCGCTTTCCTCCTATTCATCGCTGTTACTTTAAGAACATACATAAGAACATAAGAGAAGCCAATGTTGGATCAGGCCAATGGCCCATCTAGTCCAACACTCTGTCACACAGTGGCCAAAAATACCAGGTGCCATCAGGAGGTCCAGCAGTGGGGCCAGGACATTAGAAGCCCTCCCACTATTACCCCCCACCCAAGCACAAGAATACAGTGCATCACTTGCCCCCGGCTGAGAGTTCCTATCTATACCTTGTGGCTAATAGCCACTGATGGACCTCTGTTCCATATGTTTATCTAATTCCCTCTTGAAACTGTCCATGCTTATAGCCGCCGCCACCGCCGCCTCCTGTGGCAGTGAATTCCATGTGTTAATCACTCTTTGGGTGAAGAAGTACTTACTTTATCTGTTCTAACCCGACTGCTCAGCAATTTCATTGAGTGCCCATGAGTTCTTGTATTGTGAGAAAAGAAAAAAAATTACTTCTTTCTCTACCTGCTCTATCCCATGCTCTATCAATCGATCTACCTACTCTATCGCTCGATCATGTCACCCCTCAACCGTCGTTTCTCCAAGCTAAAGAGCCCCAAGCCCTTTAACCTTTCTTCATAGGGGAAGTGTTCCAACCCTTTTATCATTCTAGTTGCCCTTTTCTGCACTTTTTCCAAGGCTATAATATCCTTTTTGAGGTGTGGTGACCAGAACTGTACACAGTACTCCATATGAGGTCACACCATCAATTTATACAGGGGCATTATGATATTGGCTGATTTGTTCTCAGTTCCCTTCCTAATAATCCCGAGCATAACGCTGGCCTTTTTTTATTGCAGTTGTACATTGTCTCAACATTTTCAGTGAGTTATCTACTATGACTCTAAGATCTCGTGGTCAATCTCTGCCAGTTCGGACCCCATCAACGTGTATTTATAGTTAGGATTTTTGGCTCCAATGTGCACTACTTTGCACTTGGCCACATTGAACCCCATTTGCCATGTTGACGCCCACTCCCCAATCCTCGACAGATCCCTTTGGAGTGCCTCACAATTCTCCCTGGTTCTCACCACCCTGAACAACTTCGTGTCATCTGCAAATTTAGCCACTTCACTGCTTACTCCCAACTCCAAATCTTTAATAAACAAGTTAAAAAGCACCAGACCCAGTACTGGTGCCTGCGGTACCCCACTGCTTACCACCCTCCACTGAGAAAATGTCCCATTTATACTCACTCTCTGTTTCCTATTAATTAGCCAGTTTTTGATCCACAAAAGGACTTGTCCTTTTATCCCGTGACTGTTGAGCTTACTTAGGAGCCTTTGATGAGGGACTTTTATGACAGACTGACATTGTTCTGAGAGATACTTAAGATGTGGTGGTAACGTGGGTGATTCTGTGTTCCTGAACACAATCTTTCCACAGCAGACTGCACCCCTGAACCTTGTTAGCTCTTACTCCTCAGCTCTCACACGCCAGTTTTTTTTGAACTCTGAATAAAAGTGCTTTTGAGTCCCCATTGTGGGGAAAAAGTGAGATATAAAATAAATAAAGAAATGCAATAAATAAACGAATGCCGAATGCATGCATACACCTCTCTTGCTATGTAATTTCCTTATGTTCACTCATCATTGTGGGGGTGAGGTTTTTCAATGGAGCTGAAACATTTCAGGAGGGATTTAAGCTGTAGAGGAAACAAGGGGAATTGGCAGGTAGGCTGAGCAGGCTTGTTAATAGGAGTCAGGAGTGGATGAGTCGAGAGCCACACAAAGGTCCACCCGTGATCACACCCGTGATCATGGAGAAGTGGCTACATAGACAAAAGACGTGGACGCACAAGAGTCCCCACCCCCTAGACCTTTGGAGAGAACTTCCTGCTTGAGGGGGAAATGTGTGGAAATTGTCCCCTTTGTTTGTGTCAGACTTTCCCTGAAGTGTGAGTGGAGGGTGTACTGTTGTGGAGTTCTTTCAGTCCTTCGATCTTGTTGTGTTCACTGCCCCTGCCCCATCTTCTTGTGCGTTTCAGGGCTGCATGCCCAAGGTGAAGGGGAGATACCTGCTCCATGAAATCCTTCCATTTGCAGTTCAAAGGATCCAGCTCTAGCTTTCCACCCTCTGTTGACAGTTGTGAGGAGAGGGCCACTTCCTAGTGGCAGAAGGAAAGAAAACATGGGGAACTTTTGGCTGAAAACTTGAGATACAGATTTTTTAAAAAACCTTGGATTTTTAAGATGTCATTTGTGTTCAAGGCCTTGGAGAGGAGACACCCCTTTCTTTTCCCTCCATGGTCAATTTATTGGTGTGTTGCTGTTTGGTTCTGACTGTGTCTTTTTGTACATCTCTTTTTTTTTCTTGTCCCTCTGCTATCTAAGAGAGGAGGCTCTGCCTTTGCCATCTTGGCTGAAAGTGACAATGAGGAAGAGGTGGAGGAAGAAGAGGAAGACGGTGAAGAAGCGAAGATGCCCAAGGGCAAATCGAAGGTAGATACAAAGGGGCCTCTAGGAAATGCAGGCCTGTAAGAGTGTTGTGATCAGATGATGAGTAGATAGACAGGCAAAAAAGCTCACTGGGTTTTGTGTCAGATGGGCAAAATGGCTCCTTCATCTAGGACGTGTGCAGTATAATTGGGTCTCCCATTTGTTTCCCTGGGAGCCACATTTATGTTTTGTCTGGGCATCAGATTGCCAAGCTGAGCAGCTCTTCTTGAGCCACCACCTGTTCTTCCTCTGTTCCCAAGGCTAGCAAGGAGGAGGGAGATGGCACTGTAATGGCGACCTTTCTGCATTTCTCTGCCCTATTCACAGCTTTCTGTTCTTTCAGACAGTAACAAAAGAGGCTGTTCAACCTGACGAAGCTAGGGAAAAGGCCAAAGGGAAGAAGGATCTGCCTTCCAAGGTATGGGAACCTGAAGATGAGGCCAAAATCTGGCCTGCAGGGGGGGGGGCAGTGCTGGAGGCAGAGGCTGTGTGGAGCATAGGTAAGGTGTGCCATCTGCTGCAGAGTGTCTCACTGCTGCTAGCATCAGGCACACCTGAGGGGGAAGAAGCTGGTGCTGCCTTTTCTGTCATCCCATGGGGCCAACTCTTCAGATAGGGAAATGTTAAGTAGCACTAGGGAGGGACAGGAAAGGGTGTTTCTGTAAGAACAAAAAGGAGAGGAAAGCATTTCTTCCAAAGATTTTTATGGTATTGCTGTTCTTGTAAAATTGGGACAATGAACTGCAAGGCCGTCTTCTTTCCTTTTTTTTAATGAGCTCCTGTGTTCGTAGCTACCTACCACCTTTAACGTATCCTGAAAAGTTTACCCAAAGTGTTAGGAACTCCGAATTAAATAGTTTGTATAAAGGTAAAGGTGAAGGTTCCCTTGCTCGAAAGCCAGTCAGGTCCGACTCTAGGGTTGCGGTGCTCATCTCAGTTTCCAAGGCAAAGAGCCAGCGCTGTCTGAAGACGTTTCCGTGGTCACGTGGCCGGCATGACTAAACACCAAGGCGCACGGAACGCTGTTACCTTCCCCTCTGAAGTGGTCCCTATTTATCTACTTGCAATTTCTTGTTTTCAAACTGCTAGGTTGGCAGGAGCTGGAACTAGAGATGGGAGCCCACTCCGTCATGCGGCACACTCGGGTCTCGAACTGCTGAACTACCGGCCTTCCACAGCCTGCAGTTCAGCGTCTTAACCACTTGAGCCACCGCAGCTCCTAAATAGTTTGTATAGCCATTGACATAATTGGTCAGTGCTGTTGTGCAGCATCCTTTTTGGGTGTATTGCAGACACAGCTCAGATTGGGGAACCGGATGAGGAAAAGAATAGCTTTGCCTGTTGTGAGGAAATAATTGAGACAGGGTGGTGCTTACAGTTTCCATTTTTTTAAAAAAAATACCTTTCTGGTGGAAACAAATCTTTACGAGCTGTCCCCAGCCCCCTTTGTTTCAATAGGATTCCCATTAATTTTTGTAAGACAAAATCTAATTTTCTTTCTCCTTCTTCTGTGGCATTCCCAACGGTCTCCTGTCACCCTTGCTGACGAGCTCCAAACCTGCTTAGCTTTGCTACTGTGACTGCACGTGTTCTTCCCAGTCACTTTCTCCAGCCAGCCTTCTTGTGTGCGTTTGATTTATTTGGGTTTTTAGTGGGGGAGGTCAACCACAAATTGAGAACCATCTGACGAAGATGGACATTTACATTTTTAAAACATTTCTATCCAGCCTTATTGCCTCGACTCAAGGTATACATGTTTGGAAAGCAATGGCCCCTGATGAGGAATCATTAATTCTTTCCAAAATCCACTTGTGGCCCTAGTTTTTAATGATATATTCTAAATCACAGAATTCTTCTACAAAAATCCCTCAGTCCTGCTTCTTGCGTTTGCTACCCGAGACTGAAAGTTGCTCAGACTCAGGGATTCTCCAGAAGGCAGGAATCCTGCCACTCACCTATGTCTTGGTGAGGCTGGGCAACAGGCTGTCTGAGGTAATCGCTTTTTAATGTTTTTTTTTCCTGGTTTGTTTGGTTCCACAGAACAAGTTCGCTGCTCTGGACGCAGAGGAAATGGATGGGGAAGAGGGTGACAGCTACGGTGACGAAGACGAGGAGGAGTCTAAACAGAGCAGCAAGGCAGTAAGGAACCCTTGCCCTGTGTCTCGAGCCCTGGCTTAGTTCGAACCCAGCAGCAGTTGTTTAACTTAGCCCTGTTCATACAGCCTCTGACTATGTGCAGTGGGGCTTGGGAATGAACCTCAGTGGGCATACCATCCAGGGCTCTTTTTGTAGCAGGTACGCATTTGCATATTAAGTGACACACCCCTAATGTACCCAATCCTCCAAGAGCTTACAGTAGCTCCTGTAAGAAGAGCTCTGTAAGCTCTTGGAGGATTGGCTACATTAGGGGTGTGTGGCCTAATATGCAAAGGAGTTCCTGCTACAAAAAGAGCCCGCCATCCTCTACCGTGTGCTCTTACTCTGCCTATGTCTTCCATCTACCGTAATGAGGCATGCTTGCAAGTGAATGTATGTACACACAGTGTTGGTTCACACAAAATACTGTACAAGCGGGGACCCTAACGCTTGTTTCTGCATCCTACTGCTTAAAACGCGTTCTTACTTTTGGTGTACCCTGACCCAAATGACCTCTGTGCCATGAAATCCCCGTCTACCTCCTGTAGGACGTAGTGTGGACTAGCTGAGCGATGGGGAGGTAATCTGGTCCCTTCTCAGCCTGTGACCTACTCAGGATAGTTATCCTCGCAACTATATTGTTCCTTGGTGAGCTGGAGCAGTACACGTGGAGGCAATAGATGGCTTAGACTGAGCCGATGGAAACTGAATCCGACAAAGACGGAGGTCCTGTGCCTGAGTCGGAGCGGGTCGGGGGTAGGGATCCCAGTACTGATCTTTGATGGGGCACCGTTGGTGCCAGCACCGAGGGTCGGGAGTTTGGGAGTGCTCCTGGATGCCACCTTAATAATGGAGGCCCAGGTAGCAGCCACTGCCAAGGCAGCCTTTACCCTCTTCGGTTGATCAGGCAGTTGGTTCCCTTCCTCGAACGCAATGATCTGGCAACAGTAATCCATGCTATGGTCACCTCGAGATTGGACTACCACAATGCTCTCTACATGGGGCTGCCCTTGTCCCAAATCCAGAAGCTGCAGCTGGTGCAAAATGCAGCAGCCAGGCTGTTGATGGGTCTCTCTATACGAGAGCACATCCGGCCTGTGCTGAAGGCATTGGACTGGCTGCCAATAGCATACCGGATTTGCTTCAAGGTGCTGTTTTTGACCTTTAAAGACCTATATGGTTGGGGGCCTGCCTACCCGAGGGACTGCCTTTCCCCATATGCCCCCCAGAGAGCACTGAGGTCAGGGTCGCAGAACCGTCTGACCCTCCCTGGTCAGAAAGACGCCAGATTGGCCTCTACCAGGGCCAGGGCCTTCTCAGTGGCGGCTCCACACTGGTGGAATGAGCTCCCGGAAGACATCAGGGCCTGTAAAACAAAGCTCTTCCACCAGGCCTTAGATTAGGAGCCTCCACTAATGAACTATTAAAAACTGAATTTCTTTGGCCCTCATGTTAATGGCATTAAACTACTAAGGATACTGGCTCAGCAATCGCCATCTGCACTTAACTGTACTTTGTATGTACATTGTTTGTTATGTTGGATTTTATAATATTGCATTCATGCATCCATGTTTTATCGTATTTTAACTTGTTGTACGCCGCCATGAGCCTGTCTATACAGGATGGGCGGGATATAAATAAAAAATCATAATAAATAAATAAATTTTCAGTCCTCCTAATAGGCATTCTGTACATATTCCACAGAGTTGAACCCTGTGGACCATCTTCTACCATCTGAGGCAGGCCCGGCAGTTGGCCCCCTTCCTCAGCCGCGACGACCTAGCTACAGTGATCCATGCGACGGTCACCTCAAGGCTGGACTACTGTAACGCTCTCTACATGGGGCTGCCTTTGTCGTTGATCCGGAAGCGGCAGCTGGTGCAGAATGCGGCAGCCAGGTTGTTGTTGGGCCTCCCTAAATGGGAGCACATCCGACCTGGGCTGAAGGCGCTGCACTGGCTGCCAATAGCGTACCGGATCCGCTTCAAAGTGCTGGTACTCACCTATAAAGCCCTATATGGCCAGGGTCCGACCTACCTGAGGGACCGCCTTTCCCCGCATATACCCCCAAGAGCACTTCGGTCGGGGACCCAGAGCCGGTTGGTGGTTCCGGGCCCCCGGGAGGTTAAACTTGCATTGACCAGGGCTAGATCCTTTTCAGTGGCGGCCCCTACCTGGTGGAATGAGCTCCCGGATGAGATCAGGGCCCTGCGGGACCTTGCGCAGTTCCGCAAGGCCTGCAAGACGGAGCTCTTCCACCAGGCTTTCATGTAGGGGCCGCCGCTACCACCACCAACAACAACGGTGGATATTCCAACAGGATTGGATCACCCTGGGATGTACAGCTTACCCCGCGTGACATTAACATCTACTGGAGAGTGGCACCCCAACGGGACTGACTGAAGATCAGAGACACCATCTTTACTAAAGACCATCTTGTTATGAAGCACTTATTTATTTATTGTCATGCATAAGTGATGCTATGTTTTTATTGTTTTATGAATTTTATGTATGGGCTGTAGCCCTTTGGAAGCCGCCCTGAGCCCGCTTGCGGGGAGGGCGGGGTAAAAATGCTTAAATAAAATAAATAAATAAAATAAATAAAAGTAGGAGAATGGGCAGGAGGCTTGCTCTGATGATATCTGCCCCTAGGGATAATTTCCAAGTAGCAAGTGCTTTTGAGTTTCCTGCCTGACACCAGTTTCTAACACATATTTGGTTGTAAATACTGTAGCAGTCGGAGGAGGAGGAGGAGGACGGGGAGAAGAAGGAAGACGATCCCTATGCGCACCTCAGCAAAAAGGAAAAGAAGAAACTCAAGAAGCAGGTTAGCTTTATACTGGAGGGGAAGGCTGTGTCGGATGGAGCACATGCACATATTCACTTGTTCAAGAATAGGCCTCAGAGCAGAAGCTGACTTCTCACTTGAGAAATTATTCCCTGTTTGTTGGTCATATCCTAGAATTGCTGTTAGGCAGCTGAAACACACTCTCTCTTTTTTTTTGGGTGGGTCGGAGGGCAGTTTTCATGGGGAAAGCTGATAGAACTACTTCAGTATAATCTACTAACGTAGACGTTTAAATATTTATAGTTTATAGGCTGCGATGCTTACCTATGTGTAGACGAAAATATTGCCGTTTTTAATTTACAGTAACAATATTTATGTTTTGAGTTTTGAGTCATGCCACTTTGTTCACTTGTTTGTGTTATATTTAAATATACATGAACAAAACTGAAGGTATATTAAGGAGCATGGAGCCTGTCGGGGGGTTGGTGGGGGGGGGTGTGTGAGAGAGAGAGACCACCCTCAGTCCTGAACATATTTATTAAAAGACACTTCCTGGCTCAGTAAAATGTTGAGGACAATTGAGTGAATCATAGGCAATGGCACTCTTCGGGCTTTTAAAAATTGTGTGGAAGGTCTGAGGAGCAAAAAAAGTGAGCGAAAAAGTGACCAAAGAGCCTCCCAAGTTGAGAGGAAGTGTTGAGAGAGAAGCTGTGCCAGCCTGGCAAGAACACTCTTCAGTAAAAGGGTCGCCCTTGTGGAATCACAGAATAAGATTTCGGCAAAGGGTCGCCCTAGTGGAATGATGCCTGGGAAGAACCAGCTTTCAGGCTGTACAGAGGTGGTTGGTAATGGGTGATGAAGAAGAGGCAACGGGGTCACATTGCCTGGTGTTTCACGACTGGGACTCTCCTTTCTCCATCAGATGGAGTTTGAGCGGCAGGTGGCATCCTTGAAAGCAGCCAGTGCAGCAGAGAATGACTTCTCGGTGTCGCAAGCAGAAGTGTCCTCCCGGCAGGCCATGCTGGAAAATGCCTCTGACATCAAGGTACCACCATCACCACCCTGACTTTTCCTTCCTTCCTTCCTTCCTTCCTTCCTTCCTTCCTTCCTTCCTTCCTTCCTTCCTTCCTTCCTTCCTGTTGCTCTTTACTACATTGCGTTTGTAATGCAAGAGGATTCCTAGGCATAGGACATAGCTCAGTGCTGACTACACCCTTCTGATGTGTGCAGGGCATCACGGCCCACCCTAGAGGTGCACAAGAAGAAGTAGTGATGATGTTGTGGGGGGTGGGGGGTAAAGTCGGTGATTTCTTGCACGCCACTTCGTCCTCCTTCCCTAACAGTCCTGAGCCTTTGCGTGTTGTATCTTTTGGCCACTAGCGGATTTTGATATGTAACTTCTGGCTTTATTACAGGAGGGCGAGTGACCTTTCTGTGTCCTTGCTGTGCATAAGGAGAAAGTGGTGTGTGCCCTCATCTGATCAAGGAAAGGCAAAGATTGAGCCTTTTGGCAGAGAGATGAGGGCAATGCTCCCTCTAAGCTGTGGAGTTTTGTGAGCAAAAATTCTACTTTGTGAGCTGCTGGCATTAAAGTTGTGAGCGAGCGATTTGGCTTCTGCCTAAATTGGTTTGCTCTGGAGCCATCCTCCCTGAGCTAAGACAAAAATCTGTGAGCTGGAGGCTAAAAAACTGTGAGCTAGCTCGCCCTAACTCAGCTTAGAGGGAACGCTGGATGAGGGACTAGTAGGGTTGCCAGCACGGCTTTTTTTATAGAAAAAGCCCAGTAGGAACTCATTAGCATAACAGGCCACACCCGACAGCAGAAACTTATTAACATATTAGGCCACACTCCTGACAGCCACACCCACCTTTTGCTTCTTATTCTGTTTACCTTGTTTGTTGTCAAAATCCAGGGCCTTTTTTTGTAGCAGGAACTCCTTTGCATGTTAGGCCACACACCCCTAATGTAGCCAATCCTAATGAGTTTCTGCTGTTGGGTGTGGCCTATTATGCTAATGAGTTCCTGTTGGGGATGTCGTTTGCCTCCGTGCAGTGAAACGTTTTACCTGCCCACTTTCACCCATTAAGTCTCTGTTAAACGGGTGGGGCTTTCCCCCCCAGGCCTGTTGTCAACCCTGTGTACCAGTAAAAAACAACAACAGAGGATTGCTGGGAACGGGGCATAGCGGCTGCTAAGCAGAGTGGATGTTTTTACACGATCCCATGGGGAAAAGACTGGGTTTGTCAAGTCTCCTATTTTGTATATTGTACATTCCCCGAATCAAGCCCGAACTCTCCCTGGAGGCTAAAAGGACTAAACTGAGGCTGTCATACTTTGGTCACATTACGGGGAGACAAGAGTCACTGGAAAAGACAATAATGCTTGCGTTGCAAGCTGTGGCTGGTTGGCTCAGGTTGAGTCGACTGAAGCTAAACCCGGCGAAGACAGAGGTCCTGGGCCGGGTTGGTCTGGGGTTGGGGCTCCCTCCCGATCTTCGACAGGGTGCCTTTGGTACCAGCGCTGAGGGTTAGGAGTTTGGGGGTGCTCCTGGACTCCTCTCTAACAGTGGAGGCCCAGGTAGCAGCCACTGTCAAGTCAGCCTTTTACCATCTGCGGTTGGCACGGCAGTTGGCTCCCTACCTTGACCGCGATGACTTGGCCACGGTGATCCACGCGACAGTCACCTCGAGGCTAGACTACTGTAACACTCTCTACATGGGGCTGCCTTTGTCACAGATCCGGAAGCTGCAGCTGGTGCAGAATGCAGCAGCCAGGCTGTTGATGGGTCTCTCTAGGCGGGACCACATCCAGCCTGTGCTGAAGGCACTGCACTGGCTGCCAATAGCGTACTGAGTCCGCTTCAAAGTGCTGGTTCTTACCTATAAAGCCCTACATGACCAGGGTCCAGCTTACCTAAGGGACCGCCTTTCCCCATATGTTCCCCCAAGGGCAAAACAACTTTTGTCTGTACCAGCACCCAGAGAGGTTAAATATGCTGTTACAAGGGCCAGGGCTTTTTCGGTGGTGGCTCCTATCTAGTGGAATGAGCTCCCGGAGGAGACCAGGGCCTTGTGGGACCTGATGCAATTCCGCAGGACGGAGCTCTTCCGCCAGGCTTTTGAGTAGGAGCCGCCACTGTCGCTATACCACCACTGCGTTGCCATTGGCAACGTGAACTGGCCTGGGAACAGAGAACCGACGTGGGAAGACTGATTAAGAATGAGACAGTAGTATCACCACCTGAAACATTGTATCAGAGCCCCTGCCTTGGATGTACTATGTGATCACTGATTTTTTATGTAACTTGAAATTTGATTGTTTTATTGATGTTACTGTTTGTATGGGATTGCCTCTTGTTAGCCGCCCTGAGCCCACAGTGGAAGGGCGGGATATAAGTCTAATGAATAAATAAATCAATGCTGGGAAAAGTTGAAGGCGGCAGGAAAAGAGGAAGAACCAACATGAGATGGATTGGCTCAGTCAAGGAAATCGCAGCCCTCGGCTTGCAAGAGCTCAGCAAGGCTGTTAATGAGAGAATACTTTAGAGGTCATTAATTCAGAGGGTTGCCAAAAGTGTCTTGACAACACACACACACGCACACACTCCCCGAACAAGACTGCGAGCTAATTGGCTGCTTAGTTCCAGTTAAAACATATGGAGCATAACACAGTTATCAGTAAGCAGCCCACGCACATTTTGCACTACAGAATTATACCTGCCTGCAAAGAAAGGAGAGCAGCTATGAAACTGATGGGTTTCTGTTTTTGGCTGTCTGAACCCCTGCAAGGACACCAGGCCAGATGACTGGGGCCCCAGGCCGTGACCAGCACCCCAAACTCTTCACTGGGCTAAAAGCCCGGAACTGCCTGGAACAAAGGCTGACAGTGATCACTGGGCGAAAGCAAAAGTTCCTGCATTCGCTAGAAAGTAAATATGTCTGCTGTTCCATAAACATTCATCATTTGCCACAGTAATACACAATAACTGTATTTATAATACTTAGGCTCATAGAATCATAGAGTTGGGTCTCCAGCCAAACTGGCCTGGAGAAAAACTGCTTCCTGACCCCAAAGTGATGATCAGCATTTCTCTGAGTGTGTAAGAAAGAGCCACAGAAACTAAGCACTTGAGCTTGGTTGTCCTGTTTTTTTGTCTTGGTGCATACAAGCAATTAAATTCTAGAGGTGGAGTTCAGTTTTGAGAGAGAAGTGTACAATTCAACATGTTCATATTAATTTTTAAATTTAAACTCTTGGTTTTTAAGAGACACTTAATATAAAGCTGATTTTTTTTAAAAAAAAAAATTGGATTTAAATAAATTGATTTTCTTTTAGCCCTCTCTCCTGCCCAGAGAATGAGTAGAGATGGGTCATACCATCCATCCCCTAACATCATCCCCTACCTTTCCATTACAGCTGGAGAAATTTAGTATCTCGGCTCATGGCAAAGAGTTATTCGTTAATGCCGATCTGTACATTGTGGCTGGGCGCCGATATGGCCTTGTGGGGCCTAATGGGTAAGTATATGAATACCTCAGCCATCTTGTTTGCTTACGTTATCTCGTGAGGGAACCATGTGAGAAGACGCTACATTGCAGGGGATCTTTTTTGGGGGGGGGAATGAGACAGGGCTGACTGTCATTTATTGTATTAACATATTTGTTGTAATTCGGGAGAGGGGCGGCAGTGTGGTTACTCTGGTGACCCTTTCCTTTTACACAGGCACAATAGTTATCTTTCTCCCCCCCTGTCTTCTTCAGGAAAGGCAAAACCACCTTGCTGAAACATATTGCCAACAGGGCTCTGAGCATCCCTCCCAACATTGATGTACTGCTCTGTGAACAAGGTACAGGGGTTGTGGGGGGGGTGTCTTCCTTTGTTGGTCTCCACAGGAAAGATGCACAGGAATTTGCAGGTGCAGCCTCCAGCAGCGTTCCCTCTAAGCTAGGCGCGCGAGCGGCTGCTCATTAACACAGGAAGCCCTGTTCAGCAGCAATCCAGAGGTGCGCGGGGACTTGCACTGCCCATTGTCTGTTTTAAGACTACAGCAGTTATATTGTGCTCAGGATGTGAACTGCTCCGCTCAGTGGGGGGGGAAATTAGCGGGAACATTGGCCTCCAGAATTCCATCTGGGCAGGAACTTGGAGGGAGGAGTTAGACATACAAATAGCAGCAATAGCACTGTGCACAGCCATGAACACATACATCTGCCTTACACTGAATTAGACCATGAGTCCATCAAAGTCAGTATTGTCTACTCAGACTGGCAGCAGCTCTTCAGGGTCTCAGGCGGAGGTCTTTCGCATCACCTCCTGCCGGGTCCTTCTAACTGGAGATTCTGGGGATTGAACCTGGGAACTTCTGCATGCCAAGCAGATGCTCCACCACTGAGTCACAGGCCCTCTTCACTGTAGAAAACAGCCTCTCTTAATAACAGCTTCAGAACTGGGGGGGGGAGGGATTAGAGTAATGTTTTTACATTTATTTACCCTGAATACAATATCAGTGCAGTGTGTTGGGAAAGTGACTTTGGGGATTCTTTGATTTTTTTTCTGTGTTGCCTTGAGTTGGAGGAGACGAGGCAGGATATAGAAATGTTTTAAATTTTAAGAAAATCTGGAGTGCTGAGCAGGCGGAAGACCCAACCTGACCAAGCAAGCAGCGTAAAGCCGTGGTTTGTAGGGAAGTTCCAGAAGTTCTTCCGTGTAGAGTTCCAGACCACCCTGGAGTTAGGCCTACAAGGCAGAGGTCTTGTGCGGTCCTTCACCGTGGTTTCCTTCACCTTTGCAGAGGTGGTTGCGGATGAGACCCCTGCGGTGCAAGCCGTCCTGAAGGCCGACACCAAGCGGTTACGGCTGCTGGAGGAAGAGAAGAAGCTTCAGGCGCTGCTGGAGAAAGGCGACGATACTGCCGGGGAGCGGCTGGAGAAGGTAGTCGTGTGAACAGTTGGCATCATTGCATGGAGTATAGCATACGATTAGGTGAATTTCTGCATGGGGAGTTCACAGTGTTGGGATGAGCTCACGTCTGACAAACCCAAGGAGGATTTTGTATCAGCAAAGCCCTTTCTGTTTCCAGAGCAAACAGTAGCTCCTCCCCACGTGTAGCTAGCTTTGATGCAAAGTTAAGTTCCTCTGCCACGAAAGCTCATTACACGTTTCAGACGTTACTGTAACTTTGGCTTTTCTTGGTGCTGACTGAAGTTTGGGCTTAGATTGAACCTCCTTCCGTGTTTCTGACCATCGGTCCGGTTCCCTTGTCTATTTACTTTTACAATAAATATTTTTATCCCTCTTTTCTTCTCGCGCCTGTGAACCTAAGCCGCTTGCAAAATGGAAAAAAAATACACTTTAACCTCTATATATCCACACTCGAGACAATACAATTCAACATCTTCGGCTCAGCTCACAATAGAGGCAGAGGCTGCAAGCCACTGGCTAGGAACAGAGAGCTGTGGACATAGAACAAGATCGCAGCCTTCTACTTTAGGTTGGTTAGACTGGAATTTTATTGAAGAGATGCTGTGCTCTGCCTTTCACCTTCACTAGTTTGTAAGATGGCTTTACCAAATAAGAAATCTAAAATTAAAACAACCGGTGTGAGATAAAATTGGAAAATCTACGTTGAAAATAGAATCAATACTGTGGAGGCCAACAGCATGAAGGTTCTGACCCAAGTATAATCAGTGGTTTGGAGGCCACGTAGCTCTTTGGCTTGCCACCAGTAGGCTCTCCTGAGCACCATTTGCCACGGCACCAGAAAGCGGGCACCTTCCTTTGAAACTGAGTTGATTTTATCAGAGGTCGATTCGGGGGGGATCGCGGGGGATCGCAGTTCCCCCGGGTGAGGTACGGGGGGCAGGGCACACAATGAAGCCCCGCCCCCTGCTTCCGGCCGCCCTGCTTCCAGCCCTCATTTAGCCAGGAGGAGGCAGGAGAAGAGGGAGGGTAAGTTGCTTCCTCCCCGCCTCTCCCCACCCCTGCCTGCCTGGGGCCAGGGAGGGCCTTGGCGGGGCTTCCTCGCACTCCTGCCGGCCTTGCGGGTCTGGGCCCCTGATGTCAGGGGGTGTGGCATATGCTAATGAGTTATGCTAATGAGTTCCCCTAGCTCTTTTTCTACGAAATGACCCCTGGATTTTATCATTTAATACAGTCTCAAGATAAAACGCAAGAACATAAGAGAAGCCAATGTTGGATCAGGCCAATGGCCCATCCAGTCTAACACTCTGTGTCACACAGTGGCCAGAAATACCAGGTGCCATTAGGAGGTCCAGCAGTGGGGCCAGGACACTAGGAGCCCTCCCACTGTTGCCCCCCCCCCAAGCACCAAGAAGACAGAGCATCACTTGCCCCAGACAGAGAGTTCCTGTCTAACAGTTTTATTTTTAGAGCTCCACACGACTTGTCTATGATCGTATTAAGCTTATGCGAGGGGATAGGGTGCATGAGTCCGGATCTACACATACAGTTGATTGAGGTTGTGGAATGATTATTTATTTCATTTACACCCCGCTTTTCTCCCCAACGGGGGACTGGCTTTCATTCTTTCCCTCTCTTCCATGTTATCCCCACGACAACTCTGCAAAGTAGGTTAGGCTGAGAGAGGCAACCTGAAGGGCGGAATGACAGACATTAAGCTCAAAGGACAAGCCCTCTGTAGCAACCTTAATAGCCCAGGCCAGCCCGATCTCATCAGAGCTGGCAAGCTAAGCTACTTGGATGGGAAACCACCAAGAAAAGACTGGAATTAGCCCTGACCTGGTTAGTCCAGGCAAGGTGATCTCGTGAGATCTCGGAAGCTAAGCAGGGTTGACTCTGGCAAGTACTTGGATGGGAGACCTCCTTGGAATACCAGCAGTCGGGAGGACTTTACTCAGCCACCTCACTGAATATCCTCCAGGCCCCCAGTAGGGGTCAGTCACCAGGGGTCGCTGTGACTTCCAGGTGCACTCATACACACACTCTCTCACACACACATGTATGAAAAGTACAAAAAAATGTGATTTTATCATGTATGTTTTAAATTGTTAGCCGCCTTGGCGCCCCTTGTAAGGGCAGAAAGGCAGGATAGACATTTTGTAAGTAAATAAATGAATGGTGTCGGAAATCCCCTCTCCCCGCCGTACTCGGCTGGTAACATCTGTCTGCTCCACAATCTGTCCCTTTGTTGGTTTCCCCTCACAGCCTGCCTCTTCTCCCACCCCCAGGTCTATGAAGAATTACGGGCTACGGGAGCGGCTGCAGCTGAGGCCAAAGCTCGGAGAATCCTGGCTGGTTTGGGCTTTAACCCAGAAATGCAGAACCGGCAAACCAAGAAGTTCTCAGGGGGCTGGCGCATGAGGGTGTCCCTGGCCAGGTAACCACTTGGGGTAGAGGTGGGGGGAACAGTAGATGGTTCTTGTCCTGACCTGGATAGCTCAGGCTAGTCGGATCTCAGTAGCTAAGCAGGGTAGGCTCTGGTCAGCATTCGGATGGGAGATCACCGAGGAAGTCCAGGGACGCTACACAGAGGCAGGCAATGGCAAAACCACCTCTGTCCTTCTCTTGCCTTGAAAACCCTACAGCAGGGGTCCTCAAACTACGGCCTGGGGGCCACATGCGGCCCGCCGAAAACATTTATCCGGCCCGCCAGGTGTTTTTGTCACTGTCCTGTCCATATGCTGCCCAGCACAAGGGGCCCTGGCGAGCGGTAGGGGTGCCATTCCCCTCGGCGCGGCGCCGCTTCCACTTTCCAGGGCCGCAAAAGTTTGCTTTTCTCTCCAACCGCTGGGGACCTGCCAGAGGGCCAGGAGCGCCGACAGCCAGGCCGGCACGCCCGCTCTCCCTTCCCAGGGCTTGGGCGAAGGTTCCCAGTGCCAGGTGAAGGTTCTGCCCCTTTCCCCTGAAACTGTCCACGGGCTAAGGAAGAGAGACGCGAGGCTCTGCCGGCGGCAACTCCAGGCTGCGCCGCTGGCTTGGGAGAAAGTCCGTCACTTCCCCTGAATACAGGCCTGGGATCGGGGTGTCAGACCACCACCACCACCTGCACTTCCATGCCACATCCACACAATCACGCCGTGCCTGGAATAAATCCCCCGACGTGGGTTTCCTGCATGCATACCGGCCATGTGTGCATTGCAACCATGTGTGAATGAGATTCG